CTTTCTAACCACATTTTTGCTCCTTCTTTACTTCCTCTCACATGTAAAAAATAAAAACACATAGACATACACACAGTGTTATACCTGCCTCTTTGCTATTTTTTTTTCTTTTTTATTCGAGTATGATCAGCAAGCTCTCTCGTACACACATAAAAGTAAATTAACTGACCTGACTAGAGAACTTCAAAGAGGATAACAGTGAGAAAGAAAATGGGGAGGGAGAGGGAGAAGAGGGTAGCCTGGGGGTTCATCGTAGAAGGAAGTCGGTTGGGTAGAGGAGGTGGCTTGTTGGAAGGGAAGAAATAGTAGGTATGGGGTTCATATAGACAACATAGATGAAGACAGTGGGTTTGTTTGAAGATCGAGAATGATCGCGTTTTTTAGGGGGAGGTGATCACAATGATACAGATGCAATGTGTGTATGAGTTAATATGTGTAAGTGTATTGAGGTGTGTGATGAAAAGGTGATCAGTGTTTGTGATAAGGTGGCCTACGTTTTTTTGTGTGTGTCGGAGTTATTGAAGGCCGGCGATATTAAGGTAGGATGCAACTTGTCGGGTTGGGGATAAAGAGGAGAGGGTAGGAGGAGAAGGGATGGAGAGGGTATTAATGATAAAAAGATAAAATCATTTTATTATACAAATTAAGAAAAAGATGAAAAAGAGGAAAGTACCAAAATACCCCTTGAGTTAACTGGGTTAACAAAATTTGTTAGAGGGAGGGACTTAGAGCATGCCTTTTGCATACCACAGGGTCGGACAGGATAATAAACGCGTTTGAGGAACCATAGTAGGGAAAATCAACAAACCGTAGGGACCAGGAATGTAATTTACTCTTATAAAAAAGACATGTTTCCTTTCTTTTCTCTCCCATTCAAGAACATGAAAATTTATTTTCTTTTTTTTTATTTCCTTCCTTTTCCTTCCCTTTCGAAAACATAAATAAAAAATTATTGTCTCTCCCTTTCTCTTCCATCCCTTTCTTTTCTCCCCAAATTCGAAAACACTTCTTTTCTTTTCTTTTCTTTTCTCCCCAAATTCGAGAACACAATGCCAATCCCATTCTTACACTTTCTTCTGCATCCAAATCTCTTTTTCCAAGCTTCACAAGAGGAGAAAAATGGTTGATTGGGGCCTGTACTCATAGGAGTGGTATTGTTCGTGCTGTTGCAGCCTAGACTCCATTTTCAGTTACTCAGAAACAGTAAGTAGATGGAGTTTGGGAGCATGAAGATCAACGACAAATCAATAGATATTCAGACTCTCATCATCTTTTGATTATTCTGTTGGTTTGAGCTTTAGCAAAGTTGAAATATCTGATGCATATGGTACAACTCGTTTTTGTTATGGCATCGAGAACAGATTAACTACCAAGTTCTTGTTTTTTTTGCCACACCCTTCGTCGAAAACTAAAAGCTTCACCAAATTAGATTTGTTTAGGATTTCAATTTTTGTTTAGGGCTTCAATTTAGGGTTTTGATCCGTAGAACTAGATTTGATCGGTTTAGTGTTTCGATTTCTGTTTGTAAATTTGGACATTTGATGTAGGGTTTGTATTTGTATTTGGGTGGTTATTTCTTATATCTGTATTTGGGTTGTGATCTCTTTTTTTTTGGCAATATCGAACCAAAAACAAAGGGGTTATGATTTTTCCTAACTTTTGATCCTTCACTTGAACATTTTAAAAGTCATTGTGCTTATTTTGATCTTCTAAATTTAAATCATCAAAATAGTAATTTTAATGCTTTATTTACACGTGTAGATACTGAGGAAATTTGACGTCCTCACTTTGAACCTAGATGTTTAAGGCGCTTAGTCAATGCTAGGGACCCAAGGTGGAACACAATGGGATTCGTTACTTCGGTTATACGGAGGTTGTTGACTCTTGGGATGTACATCATCTTGAGAACGAGTAGAAGCTAAATCAAGTTGGGGTATAAACTCGAAGGAGTCATACACCGGGCCATTGAACTTGAAGCTAAACTCGACAACTTTGATACATGGTTTACTTTGTGTTCCCACCACATTCCATGAAAACAAGACTCGCTCATAAGATGAAATGATTGTTTATTGTAGCATGTCATTGTGATTTTTGAAAAGAAACTTTATACTGCATAATATTTTTGAAGTCACTAGCTTTAAGTCTAACATTTTATTACTGTCGAGATGTACAACAGGTCCTTGTGGGGACGGTAATACATCAATTTAGAAGAGTTTAGAGCTAGATAGTTTTATGTACCTTGGAGATAGCGACTTTTAGTTGGTTTTAGTTCACCCGATTCTAACCTACACCTTTGTAAGGATTGAATTCGAAAGCTGTTATTTTTTCAACATTACATTATAAGTTAGTCACTATTTTCTGAGTTTTGGGTGTTACAAGGTGTATAAAAAACCTATTGTTTTCTTAGATTCCGGATACGACCGAGTTTGCAGGCCTTGGTGGTAGTTGTGGGGACGGCGACAGAAGATATCAGTTACGGAGATAGAGGGGGATGTCGGGGAGGAATGGACCTTTGAGACGTGTGTCACTAACATGTGGCATCATGTTATTGGAAATCAAAAACGATTGTTAAACTTTTAATAACGAGATTAAAATATCCCTAAGTTGGCATGATTTGTTTAACACAATTAGAACAAGGGATTGAAAGCGTTTCATTTTAATTAAATTACAGGGATCAAGAATGTAATTTACTCCGGAGAATAACCATATGCCAATACGTTATTCATGTGTATTATAATTATTTGCGTTGAGCTTTGATTCGCTCATTACAACAAAATTGATTTTATTGAACGTCTAAAATTAAGAAGTGTCTTAAAATAAGTTTTACAGGACTTGTTAAAACGTCTAAAACGTCCTATAAACCTATTGTAACGATTTTACATGTGATGTTTTATAGTTTGTTCCTATAAACCTAAGTTCTATAAAGTATTCAATTAAGACATTTAAACGATATAAACATCTTATATAGCAAATTTTGTTGTAGTTGTTGTTACGAATATAGCAAATTAGCAATAAGAAGATTGAATATTTATAGGGGGAAATATAATATTAGGGGTATTCACGGTTTGATTCAATTCGGTTAGTAGGGAAAATATGAATCGGACCGCATGAGACGGATATCTAGCTACTCGAACCAAAACTGAACCATAGATTGAGCTGAAATGAACCGAAATAAGGCGGTTACCTGCAGTTCAATTTACGGTTGTCCAAATGTATTAAAAAAATATAATTTACAATTTAAAATTGGTACCATGATATAAAGGGAAAAATCTAAAAAAACTCAATGGACTTTAGTGTTTGGAATAATTAAGTTCTTAGACAATTTTTTGGAATAAATAAGTCATTGGACATCCAAAACATGTTAAATAACTCTTTGGACTTGCTAAAACATGTTATATACATCTTTTATGGCCTATAAACTGGTTAATGTGGTAAAAGTTTGAAAAAAACCAATGAACTTTCATATTTTGAACGATTAAATCCCTAAACATTTTGAACCAAAAATGTATCCACATCTATAAAACGAAAAAAAAATATCAAAAAAAATATTTACATTTACAAAAAAGTATTTACATTTAAAAATATGAAATTTATTTTAGTTAAAAATAAAAAATATTTTATCAGTGATTTTCCAAACTAAAAAAATAAAAAGGGATTTAAAAGAATTACTGATTAAATTTATTTTTTAATTAAAAATAAAATATATTTTGTATATGATTTTCTCAAATTAAAAAAATTAAAAAGAACTACTGATGAAATTTATTTTAATTAAAAAATAAAATATATTCTGTTGGTGATTTTTTAAATTAAAAAAATAGAAAATAATTTGATTAAATTATTGAAGGATTAATGATAAAATTTAGCTAAATATATGATTAATTAAATTTCGTTTCTAGTGTTCATTGGTATATATGCATAGATGACTAACTTGATTACCATTAGGCACTCTAACACGGTAACATGTTAATAAGTGTGAAGGATCGTGCTTAAATCTTGTCGGTATATCATTTCACCAACGGATTAACGATGAATTTTAATTAATAAAAATGTATTTAGCTAAATTTTATCGTTAACTCGTGAGTAATCTAATTAAATAATCTTCTAATTTTTTTAATTTGAAAAATCAAGGAAATATATTTTATTTTCAATTAAAATAAATTTAATCAGTAATTTTTTTAAGTTTTTTTTTT